TTCGTAGGGAATAAGGTTTAGGGTTTAGGGGTTAGTAGGAATAGGGGTTATATTCCCTTATTCCCTACCAACCCGTAAGCAATAGAACCTGGAACCCCATAAAGCCTCCTGCTTTAAGCCACAGGAGGTTCCTCGCTCGGGTTGAATGTCTGTTTAGGGGAGGGCGTTCAACAGCAGCACCATCGTCCAATTAATGCTAATGGCAGCGAACCCCCAACCCTAAACCCTTAGCGCCAAACACTCCAAAGCCTATTCTACTATTTAAGACCCTTATAGAACAAGATTCATACCAACTTTCCCATAAACCATTGTGAGGCTAGTGCCCTTTGCAGTTTCCATGTGATTCTCCGCTCATTCTACTTCTTTAGGCCCTAAACCCAAAACTTTAATTATCTCTATACATTCCTCTGTCACCCCTACAGATCCCTTTGAAGGGAATTCCCCTGAGCCCAAAGCCCTAAACCCCAATCCTACTCCCTGAACGCTAAACCCTGAACCCTAAGCCCTGAACCCTCAACCCTGAATCCCAACTGTCATTATCCTTATCAACCTGGCAAGTGGCGGCCCAAACCCTGAACCCTACACCCTAAACCTCACTCTGAACCCCAAACCCTAAACCCTCAACAACCCTAAACCCTAAACCCTGAAACCCTAAACCCCCAAACCCTAAAACCCTAAACCCTGAAACCCAACTGTCATTATCCTTATCAACCTACCCTAAACCCCATATTCTATCTACCTAATGGGGACTATCTCCTTATCGACCTGGCGAGGGCAAACGTGCCGACCAAGGCTGAGCCCGCAAGCTTCCGAAATCCGAGTTTTTGCCTCAGGCTTCCTGGTTTCTTAGGTTTAGGGTTTAGGGTTTAAGGGTTTAAGGTTTTAGGGTTTTAGGGTTTACGCTTGGGGGCTTAGGGTTTAGGGGTTTAGGGTTAGGTTTAGGGTTTGGGGGTTCAAAGGTTTTAGGTTTTAGGTTTAAGGTTTTGGGCTTTAGTGTTTTTAGTTTAGGGTTAAAACTTTCTGGGTTTTAGGTTTAGAGTCCTAGGTTTGAGGGTTTAAGGTTTTAGGTGATAGGGCTTAGGGTTTTAGGGCTAAGGTTTTGCGGTTTAGGCTTTGAGGTTTATGGTTTAGGCTGCCGAATGTAGGGACTATGGTCAGTAGTCTTTAAGGGCTGTGAGTTTTTCTTTTTTGGGATTCATGGGTTTGGCGCTTAGGGGGTTTAGGGCTTCAAGGTTATTTTGTTCGGTCTAGCCCTTCATTTGTGGTACAGGGCTACGGGCTTAAGGCATTTAGGGCCTTGAGAGCTTACGGCTTCGCCGCTGAGTTCCTTTGCACGGCTGAGATTTTGCAACGTGTTGAGGTAGAAGGGGATTTCGATTCAGGGCTTTGTTGCTTCAGGCCAGGACGTGTAAATATAGTCCCCCTCAAGCAGAAAGAATATGGCTTTGGGTATCTTTTCGTAAGATCCCCATCTACCCCATATTCCATCGATTTAAGGGGGACTATAGGTTGTTTTTAGTTTAGGGGTCAAGGGCTGACTGCTGTAGTGGTTTTGAATCTTAGGTCTTGGGCTCAGGCTTGGGGGTTGAAAGTTCTGAGGCTTTAGTGGGGGCTTTTACAGGCCTGAACCCCAAACCTTAAACCCTAAATCCTAAACGCTAAACCCATCTAAACCTTAAACCTGGAACGTGCAATGCGTCGAAGTCCTTGTCCCTTTTAACTTTCCGGCCCATTTGTGGCACTTCGAGGCACCCATGAGTTTAGACTAAAGCTCATATATGTGCTGAAAAGTGCCACTAACTAAGCTTGTGTTACATATACGCAACCGTAAACTCTGAACCTGGCCTAAGCTCGTGGAAAATATGCCCTAAACCCCTAAACCCTGCCTAAGCTTGTGGTACACATACCTTAGGAATATAAGAGGGCCTCTATATAATCCCTATTATCCCTTATAGTCACTATTACTGGGTGGGGGGTTCCACCTAATATATCCCAGCACTCTTAGAGTGCAGCTTCTTTGGAATGCAGCCCGTCAAGGCTGGAACATCGGCTTGGTCACTTACTGCAACTACAACAACAGCGTGGATCTTGGTGGTGATAATGTAGACCCATATTCTGTTGGGGTAATATAGGGATAGTGGAAAAGAGAACAGAAACCACTGCTAGGGTTTAGGTTTATGAGTTCATGTAGACACACGATTTTAAAAAAGTCTTCTACAGGTCTAAATATTAGGATCCCGATTATAATCCCTAGCAAGGGGAGGGATTTATTAATCAGGGGCCTAGGTTAGTAACATCCTGCATGACCCAAAGCCCCATATTCATATGCCCTGGGAAAGATGGTAATGCAGAGTACTAAGGTCATGCAGGATGTTTAGTATCAACAGGTAGCGACACTGTTGATAGATAAATCCTGATGAGCCAGGCTTGTCCTGTATCGCTCATCGGGTTCAGGAGCATAGGTAATGCAGGATGGTTTCGTCCATCAACAGCAAGGATTCTTGGAACATGATGCAGCAAATCAATAACGGAAACCAGAGATTGTCCTGATGCGGACGACCCTATCCCTTGACTAAACCTCAAACCAAACCCTAGCTCTGAACTCCAAACCTTCAACCCTAAACCCCAAACGAACCTTAAAACCAAAACAATGCTCATGACCACAGAGTTCTGCCGTAGGTCGATAGTCTGGACTTCGATTCACCTTCTTCTCAGAATAGCCCCTCCTCGCTGCTTTATGATGTGTATTCTCCACATGTATACATAAATAGATATATATATATATAAACATATGTAGATGTATTTAGTACTGGGAGTATTTACTATTTGAGAGTGGTGTATTGAAAAAGGAGGGAGTAGTGTCTGGTTTAGGACCCTTCGCCCAGAATCCCTGGCGTTGCACAAGCACTTCCTGAACTCTAAAACCCCATATGCCAAACCCTAAACCCTAAATTGCTGGTCCCCAAGGAATTCCAGACACTGGTTCAGATGATTGGCTTCTAGCTCATGGGCATACTAGCATTCTCCGCAGCATTTGCTCGGTGAAATCTCCACCAGAGTGAGAGCCTTGAAAGAGACAGTGAGCATATGGGCTCCCACGAAGAAGTAAAGTTTCGATATAAAGCAGTCATCCAAGTAGTCCAAGTGATGGAGCTTTTTTCTTGGATAGTTGTTCGCATGAGAACGAACTGCAGAAGGTCATGTGAAAGCCCAACCATGACATTTCTGAATGAAGTGAGAGTACCCTCGAATCCTTCAAAAGAAGGCATTCGCGCTGTGCATCTGCAGCAGGTTAAGGGGTATGATGACTATCACTATTTCTGTTAATCTTATGGTTACTTTTACTATTACGATTAAAAATGTAACAGTATTCTGACTATTGCTGTTACTATTAACTTTTTCTCCGATTGCACCCATCTTCGGCCTTCTCATTGCTGCGTTAACGTGATTTTAAAATGCGGTATACTTCTTCCTAGCATCTGACAGCAGCATCCAGGGTTTTCTAGTATCATCATTGCTGCCATCCTAGCCATTGCCCATCATGCAAAACAGGTTTATTCGATGAAGGCTGAATCCTAGACCATGTACGCTGAAATGCCCTGAACCCCAACCCCAGCCCTGTTGCCCAAATCCCTAAGCCTCGAACCCTAAGCCCTAAACCTGAAACCCAAAGCCACAGCCCTAAACCTGAAACCCCAAGCCCTAAGCCTAACACCCAAAGCCCAACCTTGAAACCTAAAGCCCTATGCCTAAAACCCTAAGCCCTAAACCTGAAACCCAAAGCCCTCTACAGTGCTACCCTAAACCCTAAACACTAAACCCAAACCCTAAACCTTAAACCCTAAACCCTAAACCCTAGCCATGGTGCAGCTAGTACGGCTGCTGTGGCTTCTCTATGCCTGCTCGGCCTCCCAGCTGCCCACGGTAGATCTGGTGCCCGGGCTTCGTGAATTTAGGGTTTAGGGTTAGGGCTTAGGGTTTAGGGTTAGGGTTTAGGGTTAACGTTTCGGTTTAGGGTTTAGTCCAGGGATTAGGGTTTAGGGTTTAGGGCCATGCTTTGGCATTTTAAGCAGGCATAGCACTTATTAGCTAAGGATTCTCATGTGAGCTAAACTCCTTCAAGGGGGGTTATATAGGGGATTACTCTAGGGGACTACTACAGGGGCTCTTAAGGGGGATACCAGGGGGGGATACTAGGGGAGTTTAGACTATAGCTCACGATCCCTTTCTAACCCCCAAGGGAGACTTCTGGAAATTTCTTGCGTTCTCCCGATGCATAAGCTCGAAGCCCAGGGTCCTAAATGCGTTCCCATACTTGGAGGGTCAGGGGGACTTAGTAAGGGGCTTAATAATAGGGATAACTGGGGTTAATATGTGGCTGATAGGGGTTATAAGTATACTTACTAAGTCTTCCTGACCCTCCAAGTACTCGCAAGGTGGAAATGTCGGGATCTGACTGATTACTTGCATCATTCCTTTAGAACCCTCATATAGCTATAGCACATTGTATCCCAAAGCATTGTTATGATTGATCAGGCCCCTCTACCCCAAACCCCTAACCCACAAACCTACATCATGTCTTATCTTCCATGTTCTTTTCCTTCTGATTTTCTATTTGGGCCCTACTCCCCGAACCCTACAGAACCCTAGATATTCCTAGTACAAAAAACTATAGGCTCCCTCTTGAAAAGGCCCTTGAGGGTTTGGGATTTAGAGTT